CCCCTTTTTCCGCCACTTTTCGACCCATGGTTTGTCGAGAGTGTAACTAACTATGTGATTCCTATATTAGTACGTTTACGAAGACTCCATGGACCTGATCGCAAAACTACCAATTATTGCTGCAACTATCTACAATAATACGTTTCGTGAGGGTGCGAAACTAGCCACTCTGGACCCAAAAGCGGATTGGTCTCTTAACTTTGCGCGCATGCTGGGTTACAATGATCCCCTCTTTACTGAACTCCTGCGCCTCTACCTGGTTATTCACTGTGATCATGAGGTAAGTGCCTGTTCTTTTAAGATAACTCTTTTAGCACCACGTCTGTTTTTGGTGCAAGGGGCTTGTGTGATTTTTGCTTATCACGGTACATTGTCTCCCGTGCGCCGGCCGCACTTCAACTTGATGTCCGGTTATCCGTTTTTTTATTTTTTAGGGTGGCAATGTTAGCGCCCACACATGTCACCTGGTTGGGAGTGCTCTCTCTGATCCATATCTGAGCTTTTCGGCCGCAATGTGTGGTCTTGCTGGTCCTCTGCACGGTCTTGCCAATCAGGAGGTCCTTACCTGGATTATGGATTTGATTGCTGCCAAAGGAAAGTCTCCGACTGATGATCAAGTTGTCGAATTTGTCAAGGAAACTCTCGCTCGTGGGAAGGTAGGTAATGTGCTCCATCGCTTCATAGTAACGCTTGTTCGTGTCTTCAAGCATTTTTTCAATCCCTATACCTCGTCTTTAGTTTCGTAACCGAACCACTAGAGCTGTCTATGATGCACTTTGTGTACTAGAACTATTGCTTCTCTAACCGAAATGAGCACAGGGGATGGCCATTTACCGACAGTTGCGACTTCACAGCGCCATGTAATGTGTTGGCGCCAATTCCTCATCGCTCGTGTTCCACTTCCACCCTGTATACACCATCGACCTAAACCCATTGGGCGTTTTAAATCTACACCCCTGCGTCAGCTTCATTACCCCTCAAAGTGAAGTTAGCGATGAAGTCAGTAAAATCTCAATTTCTTTTATGAGTGGTGCCAAACTAGACACCGCGCCCTCGGGAGAGGGTTGGCTTGTGGAAGGGACCACTTTCCTGACTTGTAACTTGAACAGCAGTTTTCTGTTGACTTAGCTACTGGCCGTCTCGTCAATGGGTGCAAATGGTGGACTGTCCTTGAACTGTGAAGTAGGCAAGATATTACGTCTGAAGAAGCAGTCGCAGATCCCGCTGACTGCGCCGCGACGTACCGGACGTAAACCGCCATTAAATAAGTCTGCACTACTACCTTGCGTGTTATACTTTTGAACTAATGTCGATCCGCCTGTGCTCAACCTTCCTAGAGCACATTCGTGGTCCAGGTGACCGGTCATAATAAGTTAACCTGGAAATCAATCCCTAAGCATTTTCCGAGTTTTGAACTGACTGTATGCTTTACTGCTGCCGTATACAGATCTAATGGGAATTTGAGTGTCCCAGTGACGACATTGAAATATGCGAATTTTTGCCTCGATCGGGGAATCTAAGCAAAAGTTGAGTTCGCCGATCATACCCTATTAAATTATGTTTCCACTTAATGCTGACCAAGGTTTAGTTCCCCGCCTCCAGCGCGGCTGTTTTCCTACATGGAGGTCTCTATTTGTTCATTAGTACTACATGCAAGAATTACCCCCAATTATGCTCTTACATCCATTTTACAACTTTAATAAGACCCAAAAGAGTAACTTCGTATAGGCGCCAGTACATGCGAGAGGCGGGTAAAGACCTGTCTCGTCAGCCATCACAACACCCCCTTCCGATTGTCTTATGAGTACTCTGTGTCCGAAAAAGAAAGTGAGGTCGATGCTACGTAAATCCCATGATATTCCAAATCACGCCTACCTACCCAGGCACTGGTCCAGTTATGCCTGCTAGTGTTCCTGTAAAGCTTCATCCCCAGTTGCGATTCCGCCTGAAAACTTTTTTTACCTTGCGATATTTATTTACTCGTGCTTTCTTGCTCCCCGTGAAACCCAAGGTTGTTCCTGGTTTCGGACACGCTGTCCTGCGTAAGACTGATCCACGATACATGTGCCAACGAGCTTTCTCACTGAAGCACATTCCCGATGATCCGCTGGTGAAGATTGTCGCCCAGTGTTTTAATCTAATTCCTCCCTTCCTGACGAAACTCGGAAAGGTTGCTAATCCCTGGCCCAATGTAGATGCCCACTCTGGAGTTCTTCTACAAGTAAGTTCTCATTTATCTTTTTTTTATTTTGAAGACTGGGCAGATCAGTCTAAATTACCCACTTTATGGAGACCAACAGGCATTCCGAAGACCGTTAATTACCCACTCCCTTGAATTGTCTGCATTCACAGCCAACCCTGTCTAGATAACTTAGTCATGATTCTAATGCCCTTTATTTTTGATTTCGTTCCTTCCAGCACTTTGGCATGAAGGAGATGTCCTACTACACCGTCCTCTTCGGCGTCTCTCGCGCCCTGGGTGTCTGTTCTTCTCTCGTCTGGGCGCGCGCCCTCGGAATGCCAATCGAGCGTCCCAAATCACTGAGCACGGACGCTCTGCGCAAGTTAGTCAAGGCCAAGAACTAAGTTGCGACCACTCTTCTGCATTGCCTGTTAGCCATTTACTTACATGTTTACTAGCAGGAGGCGATGCCAGGGTTCTCCTATTTGACGATTTTCTGTTGTCATTCTCACGGGACTTTTTTTCTGTCGAATCTTTTACACAACTTTCGTTTCCTCTTGCTGACTCCCGCCGATCCTTTTTATTGCGAAGATCTACAATCATTCATATCGGGGTGTTCGGCCCCCCTAGAATCTCATTTTACTTTCGTTTTATCTTAACCGCTTGCCCTACCCCACTTTATGTTGTCCTGTTTTTTTCTCCAATAAACCTTTCTTATCTTCGGGTGGCTTCTTGCCTGCTTTTCCTACCGTATTTGACTCGCCTTCTTAGGCAGTTGTCTGGGGCTAACCCGACTCGACACTAGGGGGCGCTCGAGCGTCCTTTTCCATTCTAACAAATAGATGTCTCCCTTGGATGTGCGAATTCGGTCGACTATTGTGATGGACATAACCTTCGTCCTATCGGTGTAGGGGGGTGGCGAATGAGAGAAAGGATCTCGCCGCGGTGTGTTTGGTCCCGTTGAGGTCAGCAAGGTTAGAGACTTGTCACTGATTGGTCGTCAGCTTCTTTGCCTGCCTCGCTAGATTGCATACCCCTTAGTCGGGCTTGACATTTTTCCACTCTTTAGAATTGACAATTGCTATGGGACAACCAGTCCCTTAGACCTTCGGTTGCCGGAGAAGAGACTGGCTCCAGATCTGCTGCCGCAAGTCGTCGTGCGTGGAAAGGTACAATCGAGATCAGCGAATTCAGACATGACCGCAGCCGCGCCGAGTAGAGGCTTATGGTTCCGCAACTGAGGGTAAGGGGAGAATCAATGAGGTCGTCTAACTGGCATTACTTGACCCAGGCGTTCTATCTTTTGGGAGCTTTCGACCGGGCCTCAAAGCCATTGCCGTCTGTCCCCTTCGTTACGTACTTGCTCACGGGGCCTTAGTCCGGGTATCCAGAACAAAGCGAGGTGCCCGTATTCCGTCATCCAATCAACTCTTTCCGTTGATTGCCACCCGACCTTTCTCTGAACGCTGTTCAATGCAGTCTGGACCCTAGACTTGACCGGCACTTAGCTCTCAAATCTCTCCGGCTTGGTGTCAGCTGATTAAGGCCGACAAGCCGGAATGACCACTCCTCTGGCGTAGTTTAGTGATTCTCGTTTGTAGTCGATACTCTGCGCAGATGGCTGCCAGTCGATATTGGCTGGATGGTTGTAAAAATTGAGTCGGCGGGACCGAGTTATATGAACGTTTAAACGGGACGCGGAAGTAAGAATACCCCGCCCAAGTAGCACAGGTGTTCCCGTGTCCTAAGCCCAACAGTAATCCGAATATAAAACTAAACCGTTGCCCCATTCTTGACCCTACCCTGAACCTTAACTGTACAGTTATTGCGAGTCCCTACCTTAACCCCAACCTTGATCTTGACTTATGTTACCGTTACCTTTAAATCTAACCTTAAACCTACTCCTTCACTTAACCCTAACCCTAATTGCACTGGAAGTTGGATCAAGGCCACCCGTGTTGCAGGCGGTTCCTGTTCTCGTGTCCCGTTCAGAAGTCCACGTAAGTTATGTTGAAGAAGGAGACACGATCGTTGGGACAAGAGCTTTATTAGCCTGACGTTTCGGATTACTGCTCGAGCCCATCATCA